TCAGAATGAAAGTTCATTTTACTAGGCATACATTGATCCATGTGGGAGAGAAACCCTTTAAATGCATAGAGTGTGGGAAGAGCTTTAGGCAGAGTGGTGGTCTTGCCTCCCATAAATTGATCCATGCGGGAGAGAAACCTTTTAAATGCATAGAGTGTGGGAAGAGCTTTAGGCAGAGTGGTGGTCTTGCCTCCCATAAATTGATCCATGCGGGAGAGAAACCCTTTAAATGCATAGAGTGTGGAAAGAGCTTTAGGCAAAGAGATGGCCTTCCTTCTCATCAAAGGATTCATACGGGAGAGAAACCTTATAAGTGTATAGAGTGTGGAAAGACCTACAGAAATACAAATCAACTGACATCTCACAAAAGGATGCATTCAAGTGAAAATTCTTATAAAGGCACAGAGTGTGGAAAACATTTCAGGACAAGCAATTTCCTTGCTGCTCATAAACAAGTCCATACAGAAGAGAAACCCTATAAATGTCTAGACTGTGGGAAGGGCTTCTGTGAAAGCAGTGGCCTTGCTTCCCATAAACGTGTCCACACAGGAGAAAAACCCTATAAATGCATGGAGTGTGGAAAGAGCTTCAGTGTAAAGTGTACTCTGACTTCTCATAAACGGATCCACACAGGAGAAAAACCATATAAATGCCTAGACTGTGGGAAGGGCTTCAGTGAAAGCAGTGGCCTTGCTTCCCATAAACGTGTCCACACAGGAGAAAAACCCTATAAATGCATGGAGTGTGGAAAGTGCTTCAGTGTAAGGAGTGCTCTAATTTCTCATAAACGGATCCACACAGGAGAAAAACCCTATAAATGTCTAGACTGTGGAAAGGGCTTCAGCCAAAGCAGTACCCTTGCTTCCCATAAACTGGTCCACACAGCAGAAAAACCCTATAAATGCATGGAATGTGGAAACAGCTATAAAAGCAGTACTTATCTGAACCTCCATAAACGGCTCCACACAGGAGAGAAACCCTATACATGCCTAGAGTGTGGAAAGACCTTCAGTGTAAAAAGTGCTCTTACTTCACATGAAAGGATCCACACAGGAGAGAAACCCTATAAATGTTTAGAATGTGGGAAGAGCTTCAGCCAAAGCAATCAACTTATTTTACATAACAGGATCCATACAGGGGAAAAACCTTATAAGTGCACAGACTGTGGAAAGACCTTTGCTACCAGTGGCAATCTGACTTACCATAAAAGGTCCCACACAGGAGAGAAACCCTATAAATGCCTAGAATGTGGAAAGAGCTTCAGTGATAAACGCTACCTTACTTCCCATGACAGTATCCACACAGAACAGAAATCATATGCATGCAATGAATGTGGGAAGTGTTTGAGTACAAGCAGGTCCCTTACTTACCACATTCGTAGCCACTCGCCGAAAAAATTGCACCCATGCACAGAATGTGGGAAAAGCTTCAGATTAAAAAGTCACCTTACTTCTCATAAGAGGATCCACACAGGGGGGAAGTAGAAATGAATGGAATGCAGAAGGAGTTTTTATGAAAACAGGATGCTTTTCAAGAAAGAATCCACAGAGGGCAGCAAAATATCTTATGGGAAGCAATCAACTTATTTCCCTTATAATATGACCCATAACGGGATGGGAGGGAGATCCCTTTAGGGACTGAAGTGTCCTTAATTTGTGTAAACTTGTTCACTGTGGTGTGAAACCATCTAAAGATATGGAGTGTAAAAAGAATATCTTTGGAAAAATGTTGTGGGGAACAGTCTTCATTTCATAGTATCACCAGGGATGGGTTGCTGCCGGTGTTCCTGCCCATTTGCTTCACACACACTTTGCTTGTTCATGCGCAGTTGCCTGTAAATTGTTCTGCACATGCGCAGAACATTATAAAATGACTAAAAAAAACCTGCTGACAACAGCATGGGTGACTGGGGAACCGGTTCAGGGGCGTGGCCAGCCTGCCATCCCTACCGGTTTGGTGACCCAGTCCCAATTTCCACCGGTTCGCCCGGACCAATGTGAACCTGTAGCAACCCACCTCTGAATATCACCATGTGTGCAACTGATTAAATGTATGGATTTTGGGAAGCTCCCAGAATAGATTTTTTTAATTCCAGAGGTATTATCTATTCAGTTAAGGTCTCGCTGAAAGAAATCTGTTAAACAATTGCCCCTCTTATTACTCCCAGACCTCACAATCTCGGCTGGGTCACAAACTGATTTATTTAGGCATAATCAACATCTGGACTGATTTTGGGATCAACCTCCAGGCTTTGTATAGAGCTGGTATATGCAAGCAAACCAAGGGAAAATGTATGTGTGTATATTCATTTTAGCTCTAGTTGTATTGAAAATACTGACTGCCTTAAAACATATAACAAGGTATTTCAGCTATTATTTTTTCATATATTTCATATGTGCATCAGTTTAGTTGCAAGTGGAAATCTCTCCCAAATATTTATATACACAGTCCAGTCTGGTGCCAAATTGCATTAACCCAGCTAAAAGGGACTTTATCAATAGTTTTATTGGTCCAACAATGTACCGTATGAGCAATATTTTTTAAAAAGGAAGTATTGCTTGATTTAAATTATTCATTGTTCAATTTCACAGAGTAATCAGCACCATATTTTCTATTTTCCAAGATTTTCAAAAGTCAGTTTAGTGCCTATTTCATTTGGTGCTATCAAGTTGATCAGAAAAATCAATCATACTTGACATGTTAGGGGACCATGGCATTGCTATGGTTTTGGAGAAAACTGTTAGCATGATTGTGACATTGTGCTTTTTAACTTAATATAGCTTTTTAAAAAACATATTTCCTGATTATTAACAACCTTTCTCATTTTGAAATGTTAATAAATTATTGGAAACAGTTCTTGTGCAAGGTAAATGATGCCCTATTTTATATGCATTGAACAAAAATGCTAAACGAACAAACCAGCTAAATATGTAAGAGAACTTGGGGTGGGGGTGGGGAGCCGTGAAAGTGGAATCAAATGTTAGAAAGTGCTAGAAAGGGGTGGACTGAGTTCACATCTGACTGTTTCACATTGCACAATGATGCATTGAAAACCACGAATGAGAAAAGCATTAGCAAGGTAGATTTTTCTATGAAAGTCGCAAACAATTAAAATGTGAGAACATTTCTCATCATAAAATCCTGGCATTTTTTTCATAATATTACTAATTATGTAATTTTACCTTTGCGGAGATAGTCCATGCAGCATTGAAAGTGCTTCAGCTAAGGATTCAAAAGGGAACCAGAAAAATTCAGCCTTTTGCCTTTTTCTACAACTTGGAAGGTATGTAGGAAGTTATCACCCAGCCCTCTCCCAGAAAAATGAAATATCCTAGGAAATATTGAAAAGGCAGAATATTTCCCTGGATGTGAAAGGGAGAAATGTTTTAAAGAGAAACTTCCTGAAGCTTCTTGCCTCCCCCACCAGTCTTTGTCAATGGGCCATTAAGAAGGCCAAGATAGTCCCTTTACATAATAAAGGGTTCTCCACTTCAGCTTCAGGGGAATGGGATTAAGGCATGATAATATTGGCACTTTACCCAACTCCCCACATGACATCTGAGAACTCAACCAAACCTGGATTCAAAACACAGCCTAGAGAGTTGGCCCTCCGTGAGCCCATGGGAGTCTGACAACCAATCAGAATACAAGGGCATAAAACCAAGGACTCGGCTTCTCCGGCCCTTCTCTTCTTCTCCACCAACATTGAAGCATGAGATCACTTTTCTGTTCAAGCCATGTGGTCCTGTCCACCATTAAAACCACCTTTCCAAACAGCCTCCATGTCTCCAGTGTCTTTTTCCCCCGCTTGGAGCCGAACCCAGAAGGAACGAACCCCTGAAAGAAACGCCATCATCATCCTGAAGGGTCTTTGAGGACCAGTGAGGGTCAAGGTGGGATCCACTGTGTGTGGGGATCTTCAAAGTCATTCGCCTCAGTTGATGGGGTGACTTCCGAGGGTCGCTTTGGGGGCTCCCATCAGAGAAGCTCGGGGGAGGGCAGAGGGGTCCCCTGAGGGAGAAGAGGGGACCAGAAGGAGGCCCAATTCGGTGACTGACGCAGAGAAAGGAGGAGTGGGGTCCGCCCCTGAGGAGCCTAAGGATACCCCCTCCATGGCGGCGCTTCCCTCAGAGGCGCCTCAGTCTCTCTCCGCTCTTCCTGACAGAATAGGCTCCTCCCCCCCAGCCCTCTCGTGAACTCCTTTTCCCGCTTCTCCCTCTGAGGGAACCGCACTGCGAGAGGCGTGGCCAAGAGGAAAGGGGTGGAGTCACGCAAGCTCCCATCTCACGGGGGGGGGAGCGAGAGTGTCTCAGACTCCCAGTCAACTCCCCCCCCCGCCCCAGCCGTATCAATGGTCCCTCCCACTCCCCCACCCTTACCGTGGATACCGTGACAGGGATACTTCGGAGTTGGCGTCCAAGGAATAGGTTGCGCCAATGGGAAGCTTCCGTTCTGTTGAGTCATCAGTCTCTGGGCAGAATCTCTGGTGAATTCTCTCTGCGGAGAAAGCCTTTGGAGCAGAAACACAAAGTGGGAGGGGCTACGCAGATCGTGTACAGCGCAACTGGGTAGGTGGATGGGGTCCCAAATTGGGACACGGGTGAGCCCCTGATTGAAGCAATCTCTCAAGGAGGCAACGGCTGCTGAGATGTGGGAATCCCAGGCTACTAGTAGCCGATGAGGTCCGAAACCTAGAGGTCTCCTCTAGCCACGGCTCACTTGTTTTTCCCACGACCCCCGTGACACGTGTCTCCCGCCTTCCAGAGCACGATCGACTTATGCTTTCCAGAGTAAGTGGATGATTCTCCCCCTTCTGCTTCACGGGGAGCCCGTTTCCTTGACCTCCTGGGAAGTTTGATGTCTGAGAAGCATCAGGCGATGAGGATGTTTTTAACATTTATCTCTGTCTTCCAGCCTAATGGCTGTTTTTTCCCCCTCCACACTCTTCTCACGATCCTTAATTACATAATACGAATTACATAAATACTTTGCTTCTTTTCTGTGAAAAACTACTAAAAGCCACATCTGTTTGGGGGAGGGGGGGTTCCTCCTTTAGTTTTACTTTTCTCCTTTTTTCTGTGGAGCAGCCAGAAAGGAGATTCATGGGCTCCCAAAACCACGGAACCGGCATTTGATCTCCGCCTGGCTTCTCGCGGATGCCACTTGCGGAGCTCGCTCTCCAGAGCAGACGCAGCACCCAGCAGAGGCTGCGCTGCATAGCCCCCCCAAACTTGCCCCCACGGCCGAGATTTCACTCCAGGTGCCAGCAGGGGGCGCTCTCTTGGCTGCCGACAGCCACTGCGCATGCTCTCCCTCGGCTTGATCTGGTGGTTCCGGCTGAGAGTTGCTGCTTAGGATTCTGGTGGGGGCGGGGCAAGAGGGGCTCCCGCGACTCAGATCCCCCCCAGGGGAGGGAACGAGATTCTGAGGTTGGAGGGAGCTTGGAAACCCGCCCCATAACTGCTCTTGGCTGTGCATAGTGGAGATCCAACAATGGGGCAGTGGGGAGGAGAGAAGGAAGCCTAAAGGCTCGATCTCCATTTAAATTCAGATTCCTTGGAAGGGCTTTTGGAGAGACAGCGGAGACCAGTTGACCGGCGGTGCCAGTGGCTGAAAGATCCCTTCTGATCCTGGCAGAGGAGAAGCAGCAGGAAAAGTCCCAGGTGAAAGAAGCTTCTTTTGGGGAACATGGAGGGATCTTCACTTGCTTGAATTATTTCATATGTCTCTGATAGGGTTTTGGAGATTAATAATCCGAGTAAATATTTAGAGAACCTCATTAGCTAAATTGTTCTTGAGTTCTTCCAAAGAGTATCTCATTTGGAGCGATTCTCCCATTGGGTCCCATCCTTCGCCACTGATGGTCGCAAGGGTTTTGTGGACAAAAGATAAAATCCAAATCCTCTTTTGTCCTGTTTTCTTAACTGCTCTCCTTTGCTTATATTTCAGGTTCGGAGGCCCTTCCAGGAATGGGGAGTAATTGGATGGATCGCACAAATCTTTCTCAGCTTTCTTTCAGAGGGATCCCCGAGGATAAAAGTCAGGATACCTCACTAGGTAAGGAAAGACTGTTCCACTGGATTGGAGACTTTCTAGAAAGATTCCAGTTATCCTTAATTCTCTTCTTGGGTCTTAATCATTGGACTTAGTAGAAGGTGACCCTATAAGAAAGGTAGAACTCCCTCTTCAAGCTGGAAGACTTAAGGTGCACAAAGGAATTCCCTCCCTTCAGAGCAAGCCTAGGATTTGCCTTTCACACAAAACCGACTCTTGTAGGGGCCACCTTGAGTTGCATTCTGGCTCTTCCTCTTCCTCCATCATGAGAGATTTCTCTGTTCCCAATGATGTGGAAAAGAGCAAAACCCTATTTTTGGGTTTCCTTAAGAAGAGATAGTTTTGCTTAATTCCTACCTGCCCTAGCAGGCATGTTTCCTGAGTTGCTAGAACATCACTAATTTCTCTGGTTTCAAAATCAGAGAGGAGGGGAGGATTTATACTGATTGAGCAAATGCTTTGGTTGCCAAGAGTATATAATTACATGTGTTATTCCAAAAGGTTAAGAGAATAATCCAATTGATGTTCCTTCTTGAGCATGTGGTGGGTTTGATCTTCTCCTTTCACTCTTGGCTCCCAAGATGGAGCCTATGAAAGTTAGCGTGTAGAAGAGGCAAAAATGTTTTTCTGGGCAGGACAGGAAGAAATATAAAGTTTTGCCTTCAATCTAGAAAAGATGAAGTTGAACCATTTCCTGTTTCCATCCTGTCTCTCTCCTTGCCAGTGGAGAACATAGGATCATCGTTCTTCAGTGAGTCATCTCCTTCTATGGGTGGAACTGAAAGTGCCACTGGATTCCCGATTCAGGTAGGAAGGTTGAGATTAGCAGCTAATATGGGGGAAGAATAAGAAACCTCTAGTTTCCTTTGCATATGATAGTTTCAAAGTAGGCCTAACAGTTATCAAAGTTTTGAAAATGTATGGGATTCTTTAGTGGTTGTATAATTCTTGTTTCAACAAATGCCACATGGCTCTCCATGTTGCCTGTCCCAATTAAAGCAGACAGGACACATGAATAGTCAGGCTAAATCTCTTTATGGTAAGTATAATTTTGTTTTCATGTCATTGGAGAATGGGATAAAAAGAGGAGAGGCAGAAATTGCTTTGTGTATAATCTGCACCTTGATGTCTGGAAGTGTCTTTTCAGTATTTTCATGAAAGTTCATGAGAGTGAGCAAGGCTGACCCTTCAAAGAACCACAAAGATCATTTGGTTACTATGTCACATAGAGATCCCATAGAACAGTGGTAGGTTGCAGGCGGTACGCTCTAGTACAGGTGTACCGGTGCCTGCTGGGAGCACCAGGTACCGTTCCAGTACAGTGCTCCGGAGGGCCCGCCTACCCATCCTTGCTCCTTACCGGTATTTGAGGTTTTCCGGACTTACACGCATGAAGTGTATGGCCCCTGCGCGACGCTCCACTGAGCAGCTGGAGCCTTGTGGGCAGTAAGTGGGCATGCGCGTGCTGTGCACATTCATGTGGGGGACGCCCGGCCCCATTGCGTACCAGTTGTACCCGGCCCCATTGCGTACCAGTTGCAATGGGATCCAGAACCCACCACTGCCATATAACCTCTTGCAAATATCATGAAATGTTGGAGTCACTGGTAGATGTTGTGTCTAAGGCACTCTCTGCCACTTGATCAAGGCAGGTTGCTGACATTGAAGGTCAGCAGAGTCAGTCAAGATGATAAAACATACACTAATTGAATGTGAACAGTAGGCTTTGAATTCTGCCCTTTTTATCATATAATGTGTTGAGTCCACCTAGGAAAATGTCCAATCAAGAATTTTTACTTTGGCTTTTAGTCCCAAAGATGCTTTTTTTTTTAATGAGGCAACTGGACTTTCTCATTTTTCTTTGAAGACGTTTCGCTTCTCATCCAAGAAGCTTCACTTTGTCCTTTTAGGATTTGCAGATTGAATGAGATATTGCAAATTCTATCGAGTCTGCTCACTGGGATTCTTCCTTCTTTAGGGTCCTGTGTCCTTTGGGGAGGTGGCCATCCATTTCAACAATGAAGAATGGCTGCTGCTTGATCCCAGCCAGAAAGCCCTGTATCAAGAAGTCATGTTGGAAACGTCTAGAATGGTGACCTCTTTAGGTAAGAGTTCCTCTAGAGGAAACATCACAGCAAGGTGTCACTAGATATGTTATTTACAACGTAGATCTATACGTAACTTTTAAAAAATTCTTATTTCTAATTAATTCCAGTCCCCCTTCATGGTCTTATAAGTAGCACAATTTCATTTAGAAGAAGGAAATCAGTGTGATGACCAGCAAAGATTGACATTCAGTCTTGTGGTCATCTTTGGTCCTGGGGTCATTACTGCAGAGTTATTGGCAAGATGTTCAGGGAGAGGATGTTTTTGCCTGTTGTAATTGTCCTATTCAGCAACAAATTTTGTCCTGCTTTGTGTTATAATGACATATGTTGTCTTATTGAAAGCAACTTGGGTGCCTCATGGTTGAGGCAATTTGTGCGCCACATTCTAATGACAAGATCTGTTCCTGCTTAAATTTTTAATTGCCAAGAATGAGGGTTATATGCAGCCATACTAGTCCTTTAAGTTAATAACTAATATGCATGTTGTCATTTCCCTAGTTGCTTTCTCCACAGATGCCCAGTAGTAGATAAATCTGTGCATAGGGACACCAAAGTGAGGTTGTAGATTATTCTAATTTATTTTTCTTCCCCCACAAGCATCTGATGTGCAGAAGAAGAAAAACGACCAAGAACCAAATTTGGTGCACTTGCAAATAATCAAAACTAAAATTCCTGAGGAGACCTCTAAACGTAAGTGGGGAGGGAGGAAACATGAAAAGAAGCACAATCGGAGAGAAAAATCTATTCTTGAATGTGTGGAAATGGATCATTTCCTGACCGAAAGTGATTCCAAAGAAAATATGGGGAAATCTCAAAGTAGAAAAAGATTCAAAGCAAAGCCCAATGTTAGTAACCGCTGCAAAACTGAAAAAAGCTCCAGCATTAATAATGTTACTTCACATAAAATGAACCAGGCAAGCGAGAAGCCCTACAACGTTGTGGACTGTGGAAAAAGTGTTGGGTGGAGGGATCATTTAACTTCTCAAAAAAGAGTACATTCAGGGGGCAAACGCTATAAGTGCCTAGAGTCTGGAAAGAACTTCAGGTACAGAGCGCATCTGAAATCCCACAAAAGGAACCATACAGCAGGAAAACCTTATAAATGGGTGGATTGTGGAAAAAGGTTTAATGTGAAGAGTTCCCTTACATCCCATCAAAGGATACATACTGGAGAAAACCCCTTTAAATGCATAGAATGTGGAAAGAGCTTCAGCAGTAGTAGTTACCTGATATGCCACAAAAGGATCCATTCAGGGGAAAAACCTTATAAATGTGTGGATTGTGGACAAATGTTCAGTATGAAGAATTCTCTTACTTACCATAAAAGGATGCATACTGGAGAAAAACCCTTTAAATGCCTACAGTGTGGGAAGAGCTTCAGCACTAGTAGTTACCTGATATGCCATAAAAGGATCCATTCAGGGGAAAAACCCTATAAATGCATGGAATGTGGAAAAAGCTTCAGCTGGAAGAATTCTCTTATTTACCATAAAAGAATGCATACTGGAGAAAAACCCTTTAAATGCATACAATGTGGGAAGAGCTTCAGGACTAGTAGTTACCTGATATGCCATAAAAGGATCCATTCAGGGGGAAAACCCTATAAATGTTTAGACTGTGGAAAAACCTTCAGGACAAACACTTCTTTTACTATGCATAAACGGATCCATATGGGAGAGAAACCCTTTAAATGCATAGAGTGTGGGAAAAGATTTAAAAAGAGTGCCAGCCTCGCTACCCATAAATTGATCCATAGGGGAGAGAAACCCTTTAAATGCATAGAGTGTGGAAAGTGCTTTAGGCAGAATGGTGGCCTTGCTTCCCATCAAAGGATTCATATGGGAGAGAAACCCTATAAGTGTATAGAGTGTGGAAAGACCTACAGAAATAGAAATCAACTGACATCCCACAAAAGGATCCATTCAGGTGAAAAACCTTATAAATGCACCGAGTGTGGAAAACCCTTCAGGACTTGCAGTTCCCTTGCTTCCCATAAACGGATCCATACAGGAGAGAAACCCTATAAATGCACGGAGTGTGGAAAAAGCTTCAGTGTAAAGTGTTCTCTTACTTCTCATAAAAGGATCCACACAGGAGAAAAACCATATAAATGCCTAGACTGTGAGAAGAGCTTCACCCAAAGCAGTAGCCTTGCTTCCCATAAACGGATCCACACAGAAGAAAGATCCTATAAATGCATGGAGTGTGGAAAAAGCTACAAAAACAGCAGTTACCTGACTTTCCATCAACGGCTCCACACAGGAAATAAATCCTATACATGCCTGGAGTGTGGAAAGAGCTTCGCTATAAAAACTTCTCTTACTGTTCATGAAAGGCTCCACACGGGAGAGAAACCCTATAAATGTCTAGAGTGTGGGAAGAGTTTCAGCCAAAGTAGTCACTTGAGTTTCCATAACAAGATGCATACAGGGGAAAAACCTTATAAGTGCACAGACTGTGGAAAAACCTATGCTACCAGTAGCCATCTGACTTACCATAAAAGGTCCCACACAGGAGAGAAACCTTATAAATGCCTAGAATGTGGAAAGAGCTTCAGTGATAAACGTTCCCTTACTTCCCATAGCAGGATCCACACAGGAGAGAAATCATATGTATGCAATGAATGTGGAAAGAGTTTAAGTACAAGCAAATCCCTTAGTTACCATATTAGTACCCATACGCGGAAGAAATTGCATTAATGCACAGAATGTGGAAAGAGCTTCAGATTAAGAAGTCACCTTACTTCTCATAAGAGGATCCACATGGAGGGGAAAGAATAGAAATGTACAGAATGCCGAAGGAGTTTTTGTGAAAATAGGATGCTTGTAAATAATAGAATAGAATGGCAATGTTGGAGGGGACCTTTGAGGTCTTCTAGTCTAACCCCCTTCTTGGGCAGGAAACCCTACACCACAGCAGACAAATAATTATCCAACATAGTCTTAAAAACTTCCACTGTTGGAGCATTCACAACCTCTGGAGGCAAGTTGTTCCACTGATTAATTGTTCTGTCAGGAAATTTATCCTCTGTTCTAAGTGTCTTCTCTCCTTGATTAGTTTCCACCCATTGCTTCTCGTCCTGTCCTCAGGTGCTTTGGAGAATAGCTTGACTCTCTCTTCTTTGGGGCAGCCCCTGAGATATTGGAAGACTGGTATCATGTCTCCCCTAGTCCTTCTTTTCATTAGTTTATTTATTAGTTTTATTAGAATTTGTAGGCCGCCCTTTTCCCTGAGGGGACTCAGGGCGGCTTACAATCAAAAAAGGAAGGGGAGTGTAGTACACTAC